AACAAGTATCGACTTCAATCTTACCCCCACCCCAATGCCAGCCTCATTCTACAACAGTGGCACCATATAGCATTTGTCCCTTTGTGACTGAGATACCTCACTCAGCATAATGACATTGCCTTTTGATCATATGTTGCTTTATGAAATTCTTCTGTTTCAGCCAATTCTTCTTGATACTCTGTATATGTCTTCCATCTTCTTTTAATGCTTCCTGAATCATTCAGTATTCTGCCCCTTAAGTATTGCAACTCGTGACTTGAATTTGTTCTTTAGTTCTTTTAGCATAAGAAATGTCAAGCTATTCCGGCCTTTTTGATTTTCTGACTGCAGCTCCTTACACATTTCATTATAATACTTTACCTCATCTTCTCAAGCTGCTCTTTGAAATCTTCTATTCAGCTCCTTAATTTCTTCCCTTTCCTTTGGCTTCTAGGCACTCTAGTGCAATATTCAGAGTCTGTAGATTTGAACTTAGAGTGTCCATTTATACTTGGGTTTCTTCCCGTCCCTTTTTGCTATTGGGATAAACTTGAGGGTCTCAGATATCTACTTAAAATGCCATGTGATAGTAATCATCTCCATGTGAGGAGTATGTGACAGTTTAAACCATGCTGTTCAAGGTCCACTGAGGGTTGTACATGGATTTTTGACAGTGAAAGATACTGACTCTCCTTGAAGGAGGACATCATGCTCGGAAGGGTGGAGGGATGGATGAGATGCATTTATAAAGTAGCTGGGCAGTGGAGATTGGCATGTTGAAATTAGTGAGACTGGCTCAGGACAGGGCAGGCTTCAGAGTTGCTGTACATAGGGTTGCTGGAGACTTGATAGCACATAACAACCACAACAACTACTCCCACACTGTTCAAATGTCAACTGTATTACCACTCTCCCCAACAGTTCTACAAAGTCATTCCTTTTTCTGATGGGGAAGCAAAATCTCAGACAAACCTAAGCACTTGTCCAAATTGTTTGGCTAGTGAATGTTAGAACTGAGCATTCAATTTGTGGTACCAGGACACAAAGACCTGCCCTTACACAGGCACAGACCTTCGCCGGAGACTCTTTCTTCACATGATATATGTGAGCAGAAGCTTTTGCTCATCCTCATTGAGGCATGTGGTTATAATAGAATCTTCAACTTCATGTAGTGCTTCTACATTAATTTTTTCTTCTGTGTAACAGCATGATCTTCTGCTGCCTTCATGTTAACAGCAGCTCCTGGTAACCCTCTATCAGGTTTCCAAGCCTTTACATTTCAATGGGAGGAGATTGCCATCTTTTTCCCTCCTTGGAGCGGGAGGATTCAAATCACCATCCTTTTGGCTAGCAGTCCAGCACGCCATTGCACCGTGCCATTAGAGCTCCTTACCATAAACTTACTGACTTAACATAACACACATTATCTCATTGTTTTCCTGACTCAGGCAATTTCTGTCTATGAACACTTCCCACTTATGGTAATTCTATTTTAGCAGCAGTTGGTAATTAAGACAAAAGTACTACATTATTATTTTTATTTATATTTATTATTATAACCAGGCTATAGTCTTTGCAATTACTTGCTATGCATCTGAAAGCTGGACAATGACTAGGGATGATAGAAAGAGAATTGATGCTTTTGAGTTGTGGTGCCGGAGAAGAGTGTTGAATATACCATGGACTGTTAGGAGAGCAAACAAGTTCATCCTGGAGAGGGTGAGACCAGGCTGCTCCTTGGAGGCAAGGATTCTGAAGCTTTGTCTGACATACTTTGGACATGTTGCAAGACGGGATTAGTCCTTGGAGAGGGATGTCATGCTTGGGAGGGTGGAGGGACAGTACAGGAGAGAAAGACCCTCAGTCAGATGGTTTGACTCAGTGACTGAGGCACCGTGGGTTGATGTGCCAGAGACAGTAAGATTGGCAAGGGATAGAGTAGGGTTTAGGGTTGTTGTACACAGGGTTGCTATGAATCACAGGTGAATAGACAGGCACATAAGTACAAAAACAACAACAGCCTTTATGAATATTGAGTTTTTTACTCCCCACTTTGAGATTACAAGTATTAACGAATCACTACTTTGGGAGCGATTCTGAATGAACAAGGTTCAAATCCACTAGTTGCTCCATGGGAGAAGGATGGACAATCTCCCTCCCATGCAAATTGATTGTCTCTGAAAACTCATTAGAGGGTCAGCTATGGGTCTGTTTAGACTGTAGGCAACCATTAGGGGTTTGTTGAAAATAACACATTCTCAGATGCTATAAATTTTTCGTTCAGTTTATCATTTATATTTTTATCTGTCCTTGGTGAGGCAATTGTCAGTATGAGATAGTAAATTTATAGCTATTTCTGCAAAAATTGAATTGGAAGCTAGTTATGCAATTCTTCTGAACATCTCTGTCAATTATTGTAGCTTTTGAATTGGAATCATACTTATTTTTATTTTATGTCAACCAGATTTTTTAATTTGAACTATCTTCCTCTTGCTGTATTTCTTTTGCTAATGTTCTTGTAAAGATGCATAAGTTGGAAATTATCCAAGTAGAAATTTGAAAGATTATGGAAGTTGGATCATTTCCCCTCCCCCCAATTTTGACTTCATTTGTGGTAAGGTTTTACTACTCATACTATGAAAGATTTGAGAGTGTACAGTGTATTTTTAAATAAAAGTATGCATTCAAGTAGAAAAGTAAAGCATTTTATTGAAAGTGAATGAAGATTTTAATTTCTCTCATTGTAAACTGTGTGCCCTTTTAGATAAGTGATGAAGAGAAGAATCAGCGGGAACAAGTGATCATTGCTTCATCACCAAGTTTAAGTGGGACTCAGTTGGAGATGGAGTCAGTTTATAAGGTATGCAAACGTAAAACATTTTCTAACACATTGACCTTTATATACATTCTTAATTAAAGTCATTCATGGAAACTCAGTGTCACAATAGCTCTTGTTCTTCCTCCCCTAAGATATGCCAACATCTGTTCTGGCTGTCCTCCTACACAAATGGCTTCTAACCTTTCTGGGGCTTTGCTCTCTGCTTCAGAATTTCTTTTAAAGAAAGGCACACCTCATAGTACCTTTGGTTCTATGCCCTATACCAGGCTACTCTGTCCAGATGCCCTCATTACTTATGTGGCTCCAGCGGCTTGTGCTCAATGAATATCTTGAGTAGAAGTCCTTTTTGCTGCTCTTGTCCCCTGAGTCTGTGCTTTGCGCTGCCCACCTACTTGGAATTCCTCTTCTTTTTTCAGACTCTGCTTCTCTGTGCCAGTTTACTTTCACGTGAAGATGATTTCCTTAATCCACTCAAGTTCCAGCATTCTGGAACTTTTTGGTCTCCCTACCTCCTCAGGACTAACATTTACTTTGCTTGAATGACTTCTGGACTGTATTTTTCCAGAAGGGGATTGGGGGAGAGCTAAAATCAGTATTAATATTAGATAGTGGCATCTCTGCACCACAATACTTTTAAAGGTGTTTACTGATTATTATTGACAAGGGCTAGTAACTTAAAATGCTGCCTCCACATTAGCTGCCCATTTTAGCTTCCCTGTTTCTACCAGGTGGGTCATCATTCAGTCAGCCTTCCAATTCTGGACTGGGAGAATTAATATTTATCCCTCCCTTATTTCACATTTCCTGTTACGCTGCCTATACATCATCTTTTTCTTCTGTCTGGACACTTTTATTTCTACTGTGATTACCCAAATATGCTGAATTGTTAGAGGTGAAGAACCTCTAAGAGTCATATAGTCCATCTCTTCCTCTTCTCCACTTTTACAGATTTGGCTAGAATTCATTGAAGTTAAAAATTACAAGTCCAGTTAGTAGCCAGCCTTGGATTAGACCTTATTTTTTCAGGCTTTGTGTGTCTGCTCTCCTTGTGTGGATACTTGCTGCTAACCTTCTCAGCTACTTCTCTGCCAAGTCCTGTGCAAATCTGTCTGCTTAGTGCAGACTGAATCGTAAATGGTACCACTGTGGAGGCTGTTTGCCTTTCCTTGTGTGCTTGTCTTGTTGTCTCAACTAAGTGATGGATTCCTTGAGGACATGGCTGTGCTGTAATTACAGAAAACATCAAATAAATCAAAAGCTATCTGCTAAAAAACATGCACTCTGTTGTGTGTGAAATAATGTTGTATATATAGAATTGTAGGCATTTAGATTCAACTCTTCCTAAAATTTCGATAAGTTGGAAAGTTAGGAATCATTTTTTCACTTCAGTTTTAAAAATGAGAAATGCTTTCTGTATTAGAGAGTGAGGGTGATTTTTGCATCCTTTCTGCTCTTAGAATTATTCTCTCATCTCAGAATTTTGGGATAATTTATGTGACTACAAAAATATAATTGGAATAGTATTTAAAATATTTACAGACAAATACTTATTTTATGCCAAAATGAATATGTTTTCCCATTTCTTATTTCTGAGATTAACTTTTCAGTATATTTTTTAATATCTTAATGGCAAAATACAGAATTGCATAAATAATAATTAGTTGTTGTTATTTGACATTGAGTTGCCTGTGACCCTTGGTGACTCTATATACAACAGCCCTAAACCCTGCTCTATCCTGTGCCAATCTTTTTGTCTCTGACACACCTACACCCATAACCCCAATCACTGGATCAATCCATCTCATTGAGGGTCATCCTCTCTTGGCTGCCCCTCCACCCTCTGAAGCATGACATCCCTCTCCAGGGACTGATCCCGCCTTGCAACATGTCCAGAGTATGTCAGATGAAGCTTCAGAATCCTTGCCTCCAAGGAGCAGCCTGGTGTCAGTCACCCTCTGTAGGATGAACCTGTTTGTTCTCCTAGCAGTCCATGGTATATTCAATAGTCTTCTCCAGCACCACAGCTCAAAGGTATCAATTCTCCTTCTGTCATCCCTAGTCATTGTCCAGCTTTCTGATGCATAGCAAGTAATGGCAAAGACTGGTCTAGATCAGGTACATCTTAGTCTCCAGACTGACATCATTGCTTTCAGTACTTTGGAGATACCCCTGACAACAGGCAATACATCTTTTAATTTCCTGGCTGCTGGTACCAAGGGTATTGATTGTGGAGCTAAGCAAACTAAAGTTGTTAACAATCTTAATCCCTTCACCATGTATCATGATGTTGCCACTTGGCCCAGTAGTGAGAATCTTTGCTTTCTTGATGTTGAGCTTCAATCCATATTAAAGGCTGCTGTCCTTAGTAATTTTAGTATTTTGCATGTACATGTTAGGATCCTCTTTGATAGTGATTATAATGTAAATGTGTCATGTGAGGTGAATATAATGTATTTTTAAAACTCACTATTCTCAAGTCACTTCTGAGTCACAGTGACCCTCTTTGTTTCACATACTTTGGACATGTTGCTAAGAGAGGCTTTCTGTGGAAAGGAATGTCATGGTTGGAAAGATGGAGATTCAACAAAAGAAAGGAAGACCTAGAATGAGATGGATTGACACAGTGACTGTAGCAGTGAGCTCAAGTGTGTCAGAGATGATGAGGATGACACAGATAGGGGACAGTGTTCAAGTCTATTGTTCATAGGGTCGCTATGAGTTGTACTTGATTCGACAGCTGATGTAGCATTCGATAACAACAGATGACATATCATCATTTACTCTGAACCGAATGGTAGGGAAGGGACTGCCACCGCTTCCTAATGCTAAATGTTTTATTTTAAGGAGTATAAAATGGCCAATGGCCTGTTTTTTTTTGGTTTTTTTTTCTTTCTTTTGCATGTCCTATTACAAATGTATTTCGGACAGTAACAGTTTTGTTTAGGTTTAATGCATGTGAAGACTTATTTATCATGAGAAGTGCTGACTGACTTTTCCATTTTGCTTTGAATTCAGATTCCTTTTGCTGATGCTCTAGATTTGTTTCGAGGAAGGAAAGTCTACCTGGAAGACGGCTTTGCTTATGTACCCCTTAAGGACATAGTGGCCATCATCTTGAATGAATTTAGAGCCAAATTATCCAAAGCTTTGGCAGTAAGTACTTCACTTTATTACTTACCCTTAAAAAAAAAATAATAAATTGTTAGTTTTCATATAATTCCTTTACATTATGTTTCAGTATTGTACCTTGTGTTTTATACAATCTTTCATTTGTATTATGTTTCATACAATCATTCCTATGCATTCTGTTTTACATTTTTATTTATTTATTTTTAAAATTTTGTACTGGTTTATTTACAAAGATCAGATACTTTGTTTTTCACACTGAATCTTTCCCATATCTTTCACCACTCCCCATCAAATTACCCTTGATCGTTTTGTTTTGTGTTTTTTTAGGTAATAAATTAATTTTACTTTTATAATGGTATTCAGATTTCTAATGATATTCTACTGGCCATTTCACGATCCCTAGGTTTTTTTTATTGCAAAGCTTAAGTAAATTTGTAATGAATTTTAAATTGCTTTGTAATAACTCTCCCTGGTTGCTTTTCTCTCTCAGATAATGCAGTGTTTTCTAAGTGTATTTGTATTTTTTTTTTAAATGTATCTGTCCTGTAATTGATTGTAAAAGAGAGGATATATTGCAGACTGATGTAAATATTTTCCAAGTTTTGAACTCTCTGGGTAGAAGATAAGGATACTTAGAGATATTGAATGAAAATAGGAAAAAACCCTATGAATTTCTACGTTAGAAATACTATTCTTTCCACATCCAACCCTAAGTAGTCAGAAGTTGGTTTCAGAGGAAGGATAATGTGAAGCGGAATGGTCAGCAGGTTGATAAGAGAGGATGATTGTAACTTGCATCTCCATGTACATCTTCTGACAATATTGAGCAGTGCAGCATGTTTTGCTGTGTTGGCTTAGATTTTTATTTATTTAATTTTTTTTTATGAGACACTGTCTTGACTTGTAGTTCGATTTCTGTAAGATAAGTTCTCTCTTTTGCATCATAGAACTAAGTTTATGTGGGTATCATCATTAGATGATGCTGATAAAACTTAAAAAGAAAAATCAAGCAAAACTAACCAGACTTGCAGAAAATACATTTCTTACACTTCTTATTTAGATATAGAAAAGAATTTGAGAAGTTTCCAGGGAAGTAATTGACAAGCAAGTAAGCAGCTCTTTTTTGGACTTACAGAGAAAAGAAAGGATTTTCTTTTTTTGAAAAGGATTTTATTTGTCACAGTTTTAGAATAGTAGTAAAATCTATGACTTACCAAGTATTTGTTGCTTTAGAAAAATATGCTTTTTAAAAGGCTCTTGATCAAGGAATTTTTTTTTCTGTAGAATTTGGAATCCTCTTAAATATTTTATCCCCCCTTTTTAAAAAAAATCAGTGTTCCATTTAGTTCCTAAGCTGTAGTTAAATATGATTATTTTCCTGAATAGCTTCTTATTTTGGAATAATACCGTTTTCTTTGTCTTATTTGTGTTTAACTAATTGGGTTTTAATTTATTAATCTGATTTGAGTTTTGAGTTGATTAAAAGTCTTTTCTAATATTGCTTTCTAGTTATTTAGTGTTACTTGGTAGCACTAGATTTCTGTGTGTTGAATCCATCATTTTCCCCATTTTGTAAATTCATGAAGTTTTAGCATATTATTAAATAAATTATTCTGAATGACAACTTTCACTTCAGCTCTTACTATAAGGCACATCTAATTTATTTCCCTTGGTTCCAGTCTCTAGGAAACGTAACTTTGCATTTGGACACAATCATACTTAACAGAAAGAAATCATTCACTTTGCCTATCATAAAATAGGTACATTGTTGTTTACTGAGGATATTGAGCTGGACTTGATCTTTGTTCTGTTTGTAAGATCTTGTTTTGTTAATTCCTTTATAAAGTCCAGTTTATAATATGTTGCTGCTGTTTAAATTTTAATTTGTACAGTGTGTGTGTGCGCGTGTGAAAAATGTATATATTAAAAGGAGAATTTTCAAAAGAATGAGGAATATAGTAGCGTTTTAATATCCCCCCTTTCCTCCATGTCAGTAGACCATCTTGTATCCATCCAGTTAAAACTACTATTGTAAGCTGCTCATGTACATGAGTTTTTAGCAATAGGTATTTGAGACAGAACTATTTGGGAGAGAAAATGAATTTTTTTTAATTTGTGTATTGAGGACCCCTGGTGGTTTAATGAATTATGTGCAAGGCTGCTAACTGAAAGTTCAGTGATTCTAATCCCCCAGCTGTTCTGTGAGATAAGGATGGGGCAGTCTGCACCCATTACCATTTGTAGCTTTAGAAACCAGATACATGGTTGAGATGAGTTAGAATCTTCTTAAGGGCAGTGAGTTTGGTTTTGGCTTTGGGGTGTTTATGGGATTAATAAAACATGGGATTAGAACTCAGAAGAGTGCTAAGAGATTTAGATACAGATTTAGGAGTCAACTACATGGTAATTTTAAACAATATTAGTGGCTGTTGTTTTTAAAGAACAGAGAATGAAGACAAAACAAGATAACATGCCAAATTGAATTTATTTCAAGGTTTGCAATGAATTGGATATGACAGAAGAACAAGTCAGTATAAAACTGACTTGGCTTATTACCCTCTATATATTTTATTTTAGTAAAAAAACCTAGAGTACAGGCACCTCATGAATGAATTTGAATAAGGATTATTTTCTTGTTGTAGTGAAATATCCTAGTATTTCATAGAACCAAAGTAAATTAAACCTGTTGCCAGTGAGCCTGACCCATGATGATGTTAAAGGTAGAGGTGCCCATAAAATTGTCCAGGCTGCAATCTTTATGGAAGTAGACTGTGCCATCTTTTTCTTTTGGAGTGGCTGGTAGATTTGAACTTTTTCTGTTAGCTGGTCAGTATTTAACCACTATGCCACCAAGACTCTTTTTATTTATTACAAAGTCAGTACTATGTATGAAAGTGCTTTTGTAATTCCAGAGTGCAATATGTATCTATTAATTTGAAGGAGATAATTCATGTGAGGAATACTGTTTTAGGAGGAGTGAATTTTCTTTTTTTTTTCTTGCTTACTGAAAGAGAATAGGACTTGAAATGCTTGCTGCAGAAGACCAAGTATTATAGTCTTCAATATGGATTACATCTCAACATCAAGAAAATAGAGTTCTTCACACTGGGCCAATAGGCAACATTATGATAGATGGAGAACGAGTTAGAGTTGTCATTGATTTCCTCTTACTTTTATCAACAATCAAACATTCTTGGTACCAACAGTCAGGAGATCAGGAGATGTATTGCCTTGAGCAAGTCCATTGTCAGGGACCTCTCCAAAATACTGAAGAGTGATGATAATTTAGAGACCAAGAGGCACCTGATTCAGGTCATGCTATTTTCAAACACTTGTGAGAGCTGGACAATAATTAAGAATGATAGAAGAACTGATGTCTTTGAGTCACAACTCAAAGAGTTGTTGGAGAAGAGTACTGAATATCCCATGGAACACCAAAAAAAAAACAATCAAATAAATGTGTCCTGGAAGTAGAGCAACCGAGTGCTCCTTAGAGGAACAAAATGTTGCTAGGCAAGGAAGGCTATTCCTTGGAAAGGGACATCGAGGTTGGAAGAGTGGAATGTCAGTGAAAGAGAGGTGGATGGACAAGGAACTGCAGCAATGGACTCCCGTGTGTCAGAGATGGTGAGGAAGGCATGGGATAGGACAAGTTTCAGGTCTGTTGTTTATAAGGTCACTATGCGTTGTACTCGACTAGATGACACACAACAACAACACCAACAACAACTAACTATAAACCTAGCAGTTCACACGCTCTTAGAATGCCATGGAAGAATGTGCCCACGCTCTGCTTTTATAAATTTTACCAACAAGAAAACCCTGTGGAGCACTTGGACCTTAAGAAATTGCTATGAGTTGAAATCAACTTGATAGCAATAGGTTTTTTTAATTGCCTGTAAATGTCATTGACACATTTGTTGTTAAATGACATCAAATCAACTATAACTCATAACAACTTTGTGAACAACAAATCGGAACTTTACTCTATCATTCCCCATCTTCACCATCTCTGATGGTCTCAAGTCCATTGTTACCATGACTGTGTCACTCCCTCTTGTTCAGGGTCTTGTTCTCAGCCGCTAAACCGCCATCTTTCCCAGCAGGATGTCCTTGTCCAAGGACTAGTCCTTTCTGACAACAGGCCCAAAGTATAGAGGATTTTTAGCACAGGAAACATGCTAGAGTTATGGTAATAATTTATATGGTATCTTACCCTTTTTCTTGGCAACTAGAAAGCCTTCTCTTCCATTTTTAGGTATGATAATGCTTCTCACAGTGCTTGCCTTTGCAAAGAGACTTTCAATATAACTTAACCATCTACGTTTCTTCAGTATTCACCTTTGAAAGTTGAGCACCTGAAAGTTGGGGGTTGCTTGTCAAGATTCATGCAGTTAATTAGTGGAGAAACTAAACCCAGACCTCGACTATTTTATGACTGCATAGATAATTGCCTTGTTAAAAAGAGTTTTCTACTTCTGGAAAAGTCCAACCATACACTGCTGCTTCTCTGTTGCTTCCTCTGAGCCACTCTCAAGCAGATATTTGCATTGTATATTTTCAGTATCTCAGTTCTCTAGGACAATGATATGCCATTTTCAACTTAATTATCACTGATGCCTAGCAGAGTGCCATGTGAAGGATAAGTATTCAGGATATAATGAGTTACCAAGGGAAACCTGCATGTTTATGCTCTCTTTGACTTTTTGAGAAAACTAAAGTTAAATGGAGGGAGCTCTTGTGGCCTAGTGGTAAGAAGCTACACTGCAATCCTGAAGGCACATGGTTCGAATCCACCAGCTGCTAGAAGGGGTAGTCTTCTCCCATGTGATTGACTGCCTCTGAAAACTTGCTAGAGGGTCAACTGTGGGTTGGTTCTGACTCTATAGTATATAACAACAACAACAAAGTTAAATGAGATTGCACTTCTGTGTATTTTTGTAAAAGGAAAGAGTGAAGTATCTGATGTGTGTGAAGTGCTATATGTGCAGAATATTTTTGAAACCTCAATTTTTAGTGTTTAT